TGGAGCCAAAATAAATAACACTACTCATTGAAAGCATCCTTATTCATTGACTGCTGTATTTAACTATTTCTTCTATGGCATATTTAATTCTGAAGAACTTGACTGAGGGGAATAATTTTCCAAACTGCAGTATAAAATGTTTTTGGGGGTTTCCTGATAGTATTTGTTCACTCCTCATAAGTGCTCAACAGACAATGATTAATCCTTGCTCAAGATAGGCCCAGAACTAGAACGGCAAGTATGTCTCAGGGCCAGAACTAAGATGTATTTGCCAGGCCTGTGCGAGAAATCATGTGCAGCATCCACTTATAATACTGTTAAAATGAGACAGGACTCTACCTCTTTCAACTTGGTGAACTTAAAGACTTTCAGGAAAGCAAAAATGCTTGCCAGATAATAATAATAAAAGAACATAAACATACAGTAAACTATGCAAATATAATGAGACTAAAAAAAACCAACACAAGTTTCTACATTAGCTTTATTTTAAATCGTGTTTTTCACTCAGCCTCTTTCCTCTGTTTTACTCAGAATATAAATGCCCGGATTTGCAAAATACCTTTGGCGCAAGGACAAGTATCTTCAGTCTTAGAAAGCTGCTCTCAGTGGTAACACTCCAAACAGGAGAATTACAGCTGCGATTCAATGCTATGCACGCTTGGAAGCCAAGGACAGTCACATGCTTTTATCCAATTTACCATCCAGAGTTTTCTGTTTCCTATTTCAATTCAACCATTATACTAGAAGCTAGCCTCTGGAAAACTATTAGACCTAGTCACCAACTCTTTCTGCCTCTTAAGTCCTGCAAATGACATTTTTACTTTGAGGCCCTTCCCATTGTCAGATCAGTAGGAAGAAAGCCTTAACAGTAGCATCACGAGGGACATCCTGGGGAGTGCAACAGGCACTGAAATGTGGAACTCCTTAATTTGGAAGCTGCAGTGCGAGTTTCTCGGTGTCCCAAAGAATAAAAGATGGAGAGGGGAAGAGCTTCAATAGGACAGAGTAAATGCTCTGTAGAACCCAAACCTGACCGCTTGGGAAGTGAGGGTTCAGGTTCAGATCTTCACAGCAAGAGAAGAGCCATCAGCCTGGGTCAACCAAGCAGTATATGAGTCCTCTAATTACTGGTCCTATAAAGTATAAGGAGAAGAAGGATCACCTGGCACTGCTGTGCAAGGTGAATGATAAGGACACACCTCCCCTAAGGGCCCCACGATGAAATGGACAAGGGAATGGCTTATTTGTGAAGTGGGGGTTTACATGTTGAATAATTTGATGCTGCCAAGTTGAGCTGGCGGATTGTGTCTGGAAGGGCATCACATCCCCTACCTAGTGAATATTAAAGCCATTTTGGACAGCTGAAGTGATGAGGTGCAGAAGAAAACTCCAGAACAGTAAGCATTTCAGGTCATGAAAGTAGCAATGTTTCTCCAGCTCTGACACTTATCATACTAAATGGCATGTGAAAGATGCATATTTTCTAACACATCAGCACTTGTTATTTCAGATAAGCCAGGAAAAGGCTGGTATCAACAAAATACTGTTCAAAGACCGTCTAGGTTAACACTAACACTTCACCTTTTTTACAAATATTACTTTGCAAAAGTGGCCTAAAAATCAGCTGTGGGTTGCTGAGCAAAAGAATTAAAATACCATTTAGTCTGCCTTTCAAGGTTGTCTTCAGGTAATAAGAAGGATAAAACCAAGCAAGTTACCTTTCATCACGGGTAGTCCTGTATGCAGCTATGCACTGTACTTTAGGATCCACATATTCTGGAGAAAATTCTTCAGCTGATATAATACAAACCTTGTGCTGAAAAACAAGCACAAAGTACAATTAACAATTAATATCGTAAATAACAGGGCCAGGCCTGACTGGGAAGGATGAAGCCTAATTTTAGTATAGGGAGATCTGAGCCCAAAGCCATGTTCTGTCATGGACCTCCCAGAAGATTCTGGATCCCTTTACCTCCCTGCACCTCAATGCCTCAGGGTTAAATAGCATTTTCTGTCCTCCTCAAGGAAGGCTGTTTAGAAGTTAAACAACCAAAACAGAAGTATGTGTGTGGCAATGGGAAAGACAGAAGACCAACTCACAGGGTGAGAAGCTAGGCAAGGAACGAACAGAGGTGGGAGGGAAAAGCCCTCATCTGTGGTGTTAGAGACTTTTGGACCCTGGGTGAATTCCTAGACTCTCTCAAATGCAGCCACAAACACTTGCTCGCACAAAGTCCATAGGAGTGAGTTTCAGTGACACCAGGATTTCTCCAAATAGATTCAGAACTTATTTCAAAAGAAACAAAACCTCACATTATTATTGGGTTTTTTTTTACTAAAACTCGACATGAAAAAATGAATCTGTGGTAGTCCTGCTGTACCCATGGTGGTAAGGACATAAGGGAAGGCTTGTGGGTAGACACAACAATATGCACTAATAAAATACATAATAAAATACACACATACAAGTTACAGAACTTGTGCATGGACTACTTGAAAAGAAGATAAAAATGTCTGATAAGCAGTAAGATAGCTAGCACCAAGCATCAATGTAAATAAAAATTGCATAAAGGGAATTCATTAATACGCAAAGTGATTCAGTTTGGAAGCAGGTCCTAAGGGTCTGTGTTTTAGCTGTAGTGAGCAGGGACTAGAGTACTAAAAATACCTTTTCCTGGGCAGCCAACAGTTTGCTTGTCCTGCATGTAACAACCCACAGGGCTCCAGCCCATCACAGCAGAACAAGGGTAGACCCTGAAGCTTTGAACAGTGTTTTATGAGTGGCTAAAAAGTTAGTGCAAAATGTGGTCTGAGTTTAGACAGCTTGTCTGGATCAGTACGAAATAAAGACTATCAAGTTGTAAGACCCTCTTGACAGATGACCTCAAGAACCCTATTTCCTCCTTATTTAGACCACATTTCTGAACTCCAGCGTTGTGGGTGGTTCCCCTTTCCCTCTCTGGGCTACATGACAGGGGATCACATAAGGGTCTTTTAACTCCAGTGCTGCTGACATTGATGATAGTGTCTATATAAAACAAGCTCTTCTCTTCCCCTTTCTTCCTATCTTTTGCTAAGTGCAGTCTTTACAATTAACATGGGGAAATATTTCCTGTATCTCAGAAGACTATTGAAATTTATCTTGCAGCAAGTTATTCAAAGAATTAAAATTCATAAATAAAAATAAAGATTCTTATCACAAGAGACTTCCACATGTAGAGATACAGACTAATAATGTCAATGCCTTTTGGACATGGATCTTGTTAGCACAGCAATTGCTGTAGGGAGCTAACAGAAAATTTGAATGGTATTTGTTCACATTGAACACTCTCCCACGAAATGAAGAAAGCACGTATCAGCTGTTAGTCCTAATAGTTCCACAAAACTACTCTTTATTATTAGCTGGGTTTGAACACTAGATTGTAACAAACCTTGTGTTTCTGAAATGGAAAACAGAAACAACACAGAAGAAAATTCAGTGTACAGTAAAGTGTATTCCTGGTATGGCCAAAAGAGGTCAGTGAAGGCTTTTTATTCAAAATATCTAAAAGCTATATGACTAATGAATACATTCACTACCTGAAATATATACATTATTATCTGAATTTTGTAGGAGACACAGGAAACTCCCACATGGGTTTTGAGGATTTAGAAAAAGTGAAATATAAGGAGAGAAAATGAAAGATTAAATAAAAAAGCTACCAGAACATTTATCATTTAAAGTTTATTCATAGAAGAGAAGGGGGAACTGAAATAAAGCACAAGAGAGTTGGAAAAATCCTTGCCAGTAAAGGCAAAGTTCTGTTTATCTTTGAAACTGGTAAGTTTGCCTCAGCATTCTCTAGGTATATATAAAGCATATCCATTCAGGTACCTAATATACATAATTTCAAACATTACCTTACAGAATATGAACACAGAGAGACAAGTATTTCTCTTTACCCACTCAGGGAACAAGTATTACAAAAATCAAAAGAAAATGGCAACTTACCAAAAGAAAATTAATTGATGATGCCTTAAGATGTATCTTTGTGTCTGTTAGAAGGTCATAGGCTGCAATGCGATTCCTGTCATCAACTACAACACTGCGACAAAGGAAACTGAGACAGAAAGCAGGATTAAGGACGAGTCTGCTGGCATTGCCACGTTGTTTAGGCTGTCACTTAGCATCATTGCCTGGCTTTTGGCTAGCCACACCACCAGTACCACCACCACACCACCCTGCTGGATCATAACCAACCTACCTTTGGCCATTGAGGAACATACAGTATCCTCGATAGTGAGACAAAGGATTTACCACACACAAAACTGCTTGTCCAACCTCTTTGTTGTCTTAGCCAGAGCCAAAGCCACCAGACCTTAGCTCAGATATCCATTTGAGCTACTGGTTTAAGTAGGATGTGAATAGACAGATGCACATATGTGCTATCTGCGGAGGTTTCCACATTGTGTAACATGGTGTGTAACTAAAGTTCTGTGCCAGGACCGTGCTCCTTGAGGTGCCAGTACACACCAGCTGCTGCTTTCCACTACTGGCATGTGCCACTGATGATGTGGATCAGCAGTTCTTGCCCACACAGTGGCAGCTGGGCAGGTCTTGATTTTCGGAAGCTACAGTACACTGAGATACTCCTCAATACAACTGAAAAAACGTAGGTTTGCCCCTCATTGAGCACCTTCAATTGGCTGCATGTGTTTGGTACAGACAAATACATACTAAGAGGAAGAGTCTTGCTAAAGCCTTTGAACTCTGCCTTGTTCCGGAAGCATGATTCCTGCACTTGCCAAAAGTTCTCTTTTGCTAAAGAGAAGTCATACAAGGCTCTGACTTCTTTTCTTTCTTCTGCACTTCCCCTCAGGTAGGCCAGCCAGCGTGCCACAGATGAGGAGCTGTAATCACCATATCACTGCTTCTCTATTTCTCCTCTACAAGCCAGAAGATGTGGAAGTTTCACTCTTGCTTCAAGCATAGATTAGAAATAAGGGCAGCTCAGGGCTAAGAACATTTAATAGTAGGGAAATATAGGTCCCTTATTTGTGATTCACTGGAAGTTTGCAATGTTTTATTCTCTTACAATGTTTTATCGAGAATAATCAAGCTCTTAAGAAGGCCTGGCACAATATATTCCAGATTCTACAAGTTACTCTTCTCTGTATGTACCTCACTACATCATTGCTTGATTTATTTTTTATCAGAAGAGACTTGTACCTTCCTGCTTAGGAAAGATGACACAGCAGCTTACTTGAAATGTGCCCATTCATTTCATGCAGAATGGCCACAGAAGGGATTTGCTGCATTGCTATGTTAAAGTAGCAAAGGCTTCCTCTGTATTTTCATGAGCAAGTTCTTAATGTATCATATGAACAAACAAGTATGTTCAAAATTAGCCCATAAAATGTGTTTGGAAAAAACCCCAAAAACCAATAAAATGGAAGATTTATTACACACAGTTTGGGGCTCAAAGTGTTATATAACAGGCTAAAATAAGAGCTTTCCCCAGCAATAACCTGACAAGGTCACTGCTTCACATAGCTCTGCTCTGTGTCATAAACATGCTGATGAAAATGATTTTTCTTACTGAGCAATTTCATCCTGAATATCCCTAAGCCTCCATTCTGCCAAACAGCTGGCTCAAGGGAAAACCAGATACATGTCCATAGTCCCCTGGCACTGGGCAGGCTCTCCCAAAGGCTCAAAATAAGCCGAAGTGCTCAAGTGTTAAAGACAATCTCACTCAGGACAGGCAAAATCTCTTGTGCAGAAACATCTGCAGTAACCTCATCAGTCAGCAAGGATAAAGAAGTATTTGGCTGAAGACCTTGCCTACAGCCTAACAGCCAGAGGATGGCGACACTCAGAATTTCAGAGACTTTTATACTTCTGCTTCAGCAAATCTTGTTAGAAACGGTGGGAATACCCTTGTAAAACTGGCTGCTACATTTTTTATAGCCAAAGTCTTTGGATACACTTTTAACTACACAAAAACAGTGCAGGCCACTGCAGCCAATGGTGATGCTCTTTCACTGGACTTGGAGATTAACAGTTTGTAAGTATTTATGAATGTATATAAAAAAGTAATCCTTTGTATAGGAAAACAGTTCACTGAAGTAATAGCAATATTTAATGAGCTGATTACACAGAGAGAATTAAAAATTTGTACAAAATCCACAGAATCATTCACTTGCTTTTAAATCACCCTACAATTTGAACAACCCACATAGCAAAATGGATTCCAATATATTAAAAAGTATAATTATATACCAAAAACTTATTTAATCATTTAGTAATTACTTCTGAAATTCTTACCTGTATTTACAACTATATATTCTCACTCTGCCTTTAGTGAGGGGTCCAGGGCTATGTATTATGACCTCTGCAGTGTATAACCGATCCTCTTCATTGGCATATTCAAAAACCAGAACATAGCGACTGACTTGAGGAACATTTATGGTCATCTCTAAATTGACCTGGGTCAAAATAATTGAAAAATACAAAAGCTGTTAAATTTTTCACTTCCTTTTCTTGCAGGAAGCTCCCATTTCCTGCTCTCCAAGCCAACTGGTCAGCATTACTCCAGGGCCAATCCTGTAACGGCTCAACAGAAGACACCCAGCAGAATGCGAGTCATGCTTATAAATATCACTTTGTCCACTAATAAGAGTCAAACAAATTCAAGAAACACCTGCCACTACAACAGTTCTAGGAAGGCTGTAAAATAACCCTGGGAAATGAGTATATTACTATTTCTCTTCTCCCCAGTAGAAAGGGAGGAAATCATTAATGATGCTAAAGATTTGTCACCATCACCTCTAAGCTATCTTTTACAACATATAAAAATGTAGTTTATTTCTCCACTGAAAAAAAACATTTCCAGGAACACAAAATTCCTACTACAGCAGTGCTGTGTATTGATTCCCTACAATGAGTGAAAGCATATTCTCCAGCAAACTGACACTTTCTGAAGCATCACTATTTTCTTTTAGGTTACTTGCACAAAGTGGTTAACACAATATTTCATGCAAAATATTTCTAAATAGTTGCATGGAAAGTGCTGTGGTTACAAAGGTTTTTGCTTCAGATGACTATATAATTATTTTCAAATTTAAACTGTTTTTTTCTCAGTATTTCCTTAGGCTACAAGCACTTAAAACATGTAAATAATTCCGTCAACAGCCCTCTTGACTTCACTGCAATTATTCATACCAGAAATTTTGCACGTGCATCAGTGATGAAACACCAGAGCCTATGGCATGTGAGTATTCCTGTTGCACTTGATATTTTTAAAAGCAATATCCAAGCATATTAATAGAGGGCATAATCACTTTATATATCACTATTGCGTACTTGATAAAGCACCTTATTTTTGCCAAACACATTTGTAGTATAACTTTTCATTTCATAAAACATATGTTTCTCTTTCAAAGGACCTACAGCAGAGGCATAATTGCATCTGCTTGTTTTTTAGGAAAGGAAACATTTTACATAAGTATAGCTACTTGAGACAAACCCCCAAAACTTAGAGTGATATACGTACACCATTTCTGCTGACAAACCATTATGTCATTTCTTCTGAACAAGCCAGTATGCCTAAAGCAGAGTGATTTTTATTTAATAAAATACTTTTACCAGAGGGTAATGTCCGCTCTACTCAGTTATAAATCTGCCTACACTGATCCTTTTACACAGCTCTGTGTAAAATGCAGACCTTGGCACAGAGTCTGTCTTTTAGGGATATGTTACAGATCCACAAATCCTGAGCTTTAAATCTGCAACCATTTTAGTCTGGTAGGTTTACAGTCAAAAGCACAGACAGGACCGCAATTAGCAGGCAGGAATCTGACCTCTCTTCCACTGATATGGGCCATCACTGGTTGATTAGGAGTTGGCTGTCGCACAGGTATTCTTCTGTATTCTGCCCCATGTCTGAAATACACTGCCTCTGAACCAAGGACACAGGAAAATCTGCCCAGAGGCAAATGCTGATAGAGCAAGCAGCTTACACAAAAAACAACAAACAAAACACAGGATTATTATTGTTTTCAAGTGCAGCAGGATAATAACAAAATAAACCAAGGCAGTGCTTTATGCTATTCTGTAGCATATATACTGACTGCTCTGTTGAAGCAGGTCCCAAATATGTGCAAGGCTCTGTAACTTGTATCTGCAAGATGGATGCTTCATAGTAATCACTAGGTAACAGCACCAGATAATCCTAAAAACAAAGAATACAACAAATGCTAGACCATGCAAAAAATGACAAAAGGAACATCTCCAGACCCTCACAATGCAACAATGAACAAAACCAACCACATAAATAATTTTTACAGAGGATATCTATAAGGTGTGGGGGTTTTTTTCTGTTGTTACACAGACCAATAACATCAGAATGTGTCTCCCTAAATCTATTCCTTCAGAAAGACAGGATGAAGGCAGCTCTCTCATGAGCAGGGAAACTCTGAAGTCACTTTTCCATCATGTCTTGTAGAAGGCAGTGCTCCGAAAGGAGCCTCCCTGCAGCCAGAAACACGCAGCCAGATGCCTGCAGTTTTCATCCATGAGTGCAATCCACATGCACACTACTCAACTCTGGGTGACCCCACAAGGGAGATTCATGGATCCCAGGTAACTTAATAAAAATATCCATGTAATCTATTAAGCTGTGCTTCAAAAGCTGGTATATTTTTGTTCTTCTTTGCCCACTTAAATTTATGTATTAGAGTTTATTTATAACCACTGTTAATGGGAGAACATGATGGGCTAAGATCATTAATAAATTCCTTTTCAAAGGTATTAGTAAAAAACCCCAGTATAATAAGTACTGTCACTTCCAGCAAAAAATGTTTGCAAGCTCTTTACTAACACTTTAGGGTGGTATTCCATAAATTTAACACAGCCCCAGGCTTAATTACTACAGACACTGGCTACTTGTTAACCCTATATATTAAAATTTCAGTATACACAAGAAATTCAGTCTTTGGGATCATACATGTTTAAGGTTTTTCCCAAATGATCATCTCAAATAATTTCTCTTTTTCTAGCAAATTCTTAGAACAGTGCTAGAAAATTTTTCAGTTTTTCAGTGAGTGAAAGAAGAGCAATGATGGGAGGATAAAAGCATGCAGAAAATTACCTGCTCATCATGCAGCCCATCTTATAGTACTCTTATTAAGACTCTTTGTCAAGAAACTAAGGCCTTGGCTGAGCTAAGATCTAGATAAAACATCTGATATGTAAGAATTACTAATTTCTGTGAGCATTTATGCTCATCCAATTCTGCTGTATGTTAACATTACTTTGAAGGTACTGATTCCAGACAGACTTAGATTCTGTAAGTACAAGAAAAATTAGAGCAAGGTGAAAGTCAGAGAAGAAAAAACTTAAATAAGAGGCAGATCTGTAAATTTTCATAATTGTATTCTCCTCTTATACTCTTTTCAATAGTGCTGAATTTCAATTGCTTGCAGGGTTCTTCCCAGCAAATAACTACAGAGCAGTAATATCATGACAACCTTCAAGCACTTGTTTTCCTCAATTGTTTTCTTACCAAGAGGACTTCCTCTGCCATTATACTGACAGTCCATGTGCCTGGAACCAGTGAGAAAGGCTCTGTGGAGTTTTTTCCTGGGATTGTGACAAAAGCTGGCTCCTTACTGGGTGGGAAGACAAACTCTTTGCTCTGAGCAGCCCCTGCCAGCAAAAAAAAAAAAAAAAAATAGAGTAAAAAAATGAGGGACTGTGTAAAATGTCTCTACTTGCTCAGTGAGCTGGACTGATGGTCTGATCCATTAAACTTAGTCTAACAGGAGCTGATCAATGCTTTTCTGTCAATATGTACCAACAGTGCACTTGACCACACACAGAGCTATGCAGTGGTTGTTGGTTTTGTTCTTATTAGCCTTGAGCAAACTGGTTCTGAGAAGCAGAGATCTGCCCCTGTAATGACTAGTCTTGTAATATTCTGAAATGGTCACTTTTTCAGTTTCCCTTTTCGTTATTTTGCATTCAGCCTGTCTCTGCACTGACTTACAATATGTTCAGCTGACACAAGGCTCGTGCAACTTTCAGCCAAATATTTTGGGTATTGGAGGTTTTCAACAGCACCTAAAATGTTTAGTTATAGATAGCAACTGAAGATAACTTCTGGGCAGAAATGATGGGCCGGTTGTGGATGTCCCATTCCTGGAAGTGTTCAAGGCCAGGTTGAATGGGGCTCTGAGCAATCTGGTCTAGTGGGAAGTGTCCCTGCCCATGGCAGGGGGTTGGAACAAGATGATCTCTAAGGTCCCTTCCAACCCAGATCATTCTATCATTCTATGTACTACAGAAACATAGCTGAGCATGCTTTATCAAAGAGAAGTCGTGAAGATCAATTGGTATGAATATTCAAGGTTTCCTCTTTGAAGCCCCTGGTCACAGACAAAAGCTGATTCCCTGGCTCCAGTCAGTATAAGCCAGTGATGATCACAAACTGCTCCCACTCTGCCAAATGGTGTCTGTGAAGTCTTCAGTTTTGTCTTCTTTGAATTACTAAAAGGATCTACAACTTAAATCCAGTAGCTCCTATCAGTATGCTGAGGTTATGCACATAGGCTTGGTATGCCTCTACCATTGAAAGGACATGAAGTACTTATCTTTTATCAGGGCCCAAAAGGCATTTCATGCTTTTGAGGGCTGTAATCAGAACTAACTTGGTAGACTGGATTCATCATTACACAAATGTTACTCACAGAATGAAGGCAGAAGCCACATTGAAACTGAAATATTAAAGGCAAGTAAACCAAAATAAGTGCTGTTACCTCTTCTTTAAAAGCTTCATAAAGCCTACAGTTCAGAGTTTCCAAGTATAGGACTGAAATTACTGAGTTTGGTAAACATTTGAAAAAACAAATGTTGATTATTATCGTAAGCAGGGGTCTCGTGCAAACACAGCCACATCAATTAACACTGCAAAAATATATTAGGGGAAGCACAAAAGCACTGACACTGTTAGAGGTGATGCATTTTAAGCAACACTAAAGATTTGACTTAGGTGCACCTTGAAAAGCCTCCTCTGATCAAGCATTCATCTGATCTGTTGCGCTACTGGGTTACACCTACCTGCTTCAGGCCGAGATTGACAAGCAGATATGCGACCAGATAATGTTTCACCTCCAGGGTTAATATACCTCAGGATAATGCGAAACAAGTAGAGGTTTGATTTTCTCACATTCAAAGTTATCCTCACTTCATTCTGAAAAATGGAAGTTAATAAACAAAAACAGCCATAAAGTGCTGAATAGAGTAACAGTTAGAAGCCATGCAAGCACCAGACTAAAGTCCTACAAGAAAAATATGCATGCAGACAAGTATATACTGGAATGGCAATGCTGGTGTATGACAGAGGAAGACAGGTAAGCCTAGTCAGAAAATTAATTCACTTACAAGTACAATTAGTGCCAAAATGTTTTCCCTCAGCAACTGAGATCTTCCCTTTAGAGCTTTTTGAGCCCAAGCTGACATAGCGGAGGACTAGGTGGAAGAGCTTAGGGGAAGCCACAGTGATAGGCACAACCACCTCTGGCTGGGAAAAATAAAAAGAAAGGGAAAAAGGAGGAATGGAAAGTATATTATTTGTTACCAGCACCCAGAGAAAGAAAAACCATTTGGCAAAGACAAAAGGCTTGGGCAGCTTACAAAAGAACATAGAACAAAATCTCCTATGAAGTAAAACTCTTGTTGAGTACACCTTATCCAGAAGGACCCAGAATGGCTGAACTAACATGTGTTGATACCGCACCTTGATACATGGACAGTATTTTACTGTTATTCCCCACACTCCTGCCATAAAGGAGGCATATGCTATCAAGGGCTGTCCATATTCCTGGTTTTCCAAGGAACAGGCCAGAATCATTGATCCTAGTCTGAGATCACACAGAACACTCCACAGCATGAAGACTGTCACTGCCACTTCTGCTGCTTTACCAGATCCTGCAGTTTCTTAGAGATGCAATATCATGAATGTTCTCTTTGCCCTGGGGCTGACACCTCTGGAACCACTGAATTCTCAAGTCTACAGGAGGCTGCATTCACATAGCCCAGTTTCCAGAGCAACAAAGACATGTTAAATGTTGGTGGAGGATTAGGAAAAAAAAGGACGGGTGCAATCTCATGGATTTGGCTTCCTTCTTTTCATCCTAAATCCTAAAGCTTCCCTCATCCAACTCCCACCAGTTTGCCCATCACAATACACTTGCTGTCCCTTTCCGAGATGCTTATGGCACAATGACCTCCTCACCACTGTGGTTCATTCTGCTTCCCCAAATGTACACAGGCTTTCTCTGTTTCACACATTTGAGAACAAAACACATAGCCTCATTTTTCTCTTACTCCTAAAAGCTACAATAATTCCAAGACTGCCAGCTCCCATATGCTGCTGTGAATGTATACTCCTCAGTTTTGTCATCATCATCCCAGAGACCTCCACCTTCTTAATACAAATGTAAAGCAAAAAGCAAAGCTAGACACATGACAAATGGGAGGGCTGAGAGATCTGCAGAGATTGGATAACTAAAATTTAGGTGATCGCAGTAGAGCAGTGGATCAGAATGAGAATTACGGACAAGTAGGGGAAGTGTCACTTTAAATGGAGAATAATGACTTCTGAAGGATATTACATGGATAAGACAAATGCTGAGGGAACACCTGAAAAATAAATACAAACAAAATAGAAAAGGCAAAAGAAATAACAAAATATGGTTCAGGAAATTTATTAAAATGGTTTCTAAGCTTTTACAGAAAATTTAGAAGACAATGTGAAGGGAAAGAAAGAGGACATATGTGAGGAATGAAGGAGGAAGAGGTGTTGGTCCCTGGCTTCAAGTAAAGCCAGGGAACAGGCAGAAATTATTCTTTGAGCTCTTGTCACAAACTTAGGCAACTCTGGCCAGTACCTCAAAATCTGAGCCTGACTGTTGGCTTCTCAGTCTTATAATGAAACACCCATGTCAGCAGCATTACAGGGCACCAGTGATTTCCACTGAGGTCACACACAGCTTATCTATTTCACCCCAAATTTTTTCAATTGTATTGAATTACTTTTATTTTCACAAAAAGTTACATTAGCCTTTTCTGTGGTTCATATGGTAACGCTCTTTATCTTCTGCAAAATAAAAGTCGGGAGGATTATTTCAGGGTCCTGCAGGACAAAGCGTTTTGACAAAATTCAGAAAGTTCCTTGAAATTAAGAACATGATACTATCTGAGTTATTCAAGGATCTAGCTAAGGATGGTCTGGAGCTGGCAATTACTTACACGAGTGAAAAGCTTTATGCAGATAAGTAAAATAATACAGACTTTTAGCAAGATTAGAGACTAAGCCCTTTCATCACCTCTGTACAAAATGCCACTGGATAAGAAATGCAAAAAGTAGCTGAGTTAGAAAGCAGATGCTAAGAAATCACAGCTACCGGAGAGTTGCCTTCATTTATGAATGTGGAATAATTCTGAAAATCCAAAAACAGGAGCTCTGGGATAAAAAAAATAACAAAACCAAAAACAAAACAAGAAGAGACACTGAAAAATGAAGATCATAAGGAAATCATTGTGCCTGTGCAATGATTATGTGCTTATGTCTCAGCCTATAGTGATTCACTAGTCCTTGGACAAATGGAAGCTGGATACAACTATACCAAAGCACTACTTTTAAGACAAGTGAATAAATCCCATTTATTACTCAAACATACTGTTTTAAAATCCTAGTTCACTTGCTCAGCAGTTCAAAGTCAGACAGGTCCCTTCTCACTCAAATTATGGTGTCTTTCTTCCTGTGATTTACTTATTCCCTCAGCTATTGTTTAGTTTATTTGTAGTCTGCCATGAGAATAAAATAAATGTTGCCAACATGCTCCTGCTCACAGCTTCTTTTACTGAATAACACACCATCCTGTTTGCTGTAATGTGACGGTACCATTCATAATAAAAGTTGGTGCCTTTCTCTTCCTTACTCAATATAAGTTGCAAGTGTAAGACAATTTCAGTGACAGCACTGTGATGGTACCTCAAAATCTTATGGATGCAGACTGCCGCAGAATTGTGCGATTCAAATTATTTAGCCAAGCATCAATCTTCTTCTGTTTCTGCTGTCCTTGGCATGACAAGAATTTCTGCACTTAGTATTATAGACTTTAAAGCTATCAGTTCTTTTCTTTACAGCTATCTCACAAAAAACAAAACTCCAAAGAACATTTCTGAAGAACATGTATTTGCACAAGCAACGACCTGACAGTAATACCAACACTCACTAATCCACACAGCGATATAGTGCCAAAGGTTTCGGACTAGTGAGATCCTGTCCTTTTTTCTGTTTTTATTATGACCTTGCACACACATAGCAGTACCATAAAGACATATGTACCATACACTTATGTTTTCACCCCAAAGCCTTGAGTGAAATACCAGCTTACTTGTACAGAGGACATCCGGGCATATCCTCTCCAACTGAAGCTAGGAAATTCCTGAGGATCATAGCCAAACCGAATTTCCCCTCCCTTGACAGTAGTACCATCTTCAATCTCAAACTTCATGTGGTGCAGATCAGGAAAAAAATAGTTTTTTTCAGGCCTTTTAAGGAAAAAAAAACCCCAACAAATCAACAAAGAATTAGCAGTCATTTATGGTCTACATCTGAGAGCAAAAAGCAGTGGAAGGGAGGTGATATACTGATGACTGAGGAATCCTGACAGCAGCTAATGAATTCAAGACAGCTGGTAAGACATGCAATGAGAATTCTCTTTCCAGAAGCTTTTATAGCTTACATACATTTTCCTATATAACCTATATATAGATGCATATGCAATACTACTGCAAAACAGGTATTGGTTATTTAAAGAAACAGGTTAAAAAATCTTATTAAAATAACAGAAGAAAACTGCCCAGGAAAATTAATATCAATAACCAGTACAATTTACAAACTTATTCATCAAAAAATCCAGAACCTCACATGAAAGTATATCAAGGAACTTATGGGCAGTTTCAAAAGAACTGTGCAGAAGCATGAGCTACTAGGAGCTACAGCTGGACTCACTCCTGACAGGTTGTCCCCACGACGTGCGCCCTGCACTGGCAGCTCCCCGAGGGCTCAGAACATGCTGGGCTGAGGGATCCTCCAATGTCACACTGGCAGCCTGTCAGGCAAAGAGCAAGAGCCAAATATCCCATCAGAAAAAGAGTGATAAAAGTTATCAGAAAACACACCTCGCTTCAGCTAACTAAACAACATTAATGACTCGCTTCCTCTTTCTGGAGTCCTTCAGACTCTTTCAAATACATACTAATACACATACAAGCTGCAATTATTTTGAGCTTCCCAGGTTTGTGCTGAGGTGTTTTTTGTTTCTCTTTGGAATGGGAAAAAAGCCACTTTTTAAAAAAACCCACAAATAATACACCACGCCACGTTACTAAATTCAGGGCTACAGTTTTGCAGAACAGCCATTCAAATGTTTTGCTAGTAATTTCTACAGCAATATCACAAAGAATAATTATTAAAAAAACCCAGACAACAAAATCCAAAACCCAACTAACAAAAATTGTAAGATGTTAATTTTTTAGAGTCTGGTATTCCAATATGTAATTTATCTTACAAGAATTGCAATATATGTGTTCATATAACAGCATATGCATATTTCTAACTGACACTAGACAACAATATTGAATGGCTATCTACAGGAGACAGGACTTGTGACAAACTAACTAAAGAACAACTCTAGTAATGAGGTATGATTTATTGTACTAAGGAACAAGTATGCTAAGGCTAAGAATTTCAAGCTGAATTGGATGTTTCTAAACACGTATTTACATCATAGTGTAAAAGCATCTTGTTTTCTAAGACATGTTAAGCGCTTGTAATCAATCAAGGGTAAAAAGGCAAAGTAGGAGTTGCACAGATTACAAGCAACTACCAGCAGTAGTGCAAAATGCTACGCACACAGGTAATCCAAACACCTCCATTTTAAAAATACAACACAGGAAATTCTAAAGACTTTAGCACTAAGTGTAAATATTCTACTAGAGATGTCCTTCATTCATTTTACCTCGGCAGCCAAAGTAATTCTTGTTTTCAACAGCATAATAACCAGCTTCACAAGTGTCACAGAAATCTCCACAAACATTAGATTTGCAGTAACAATGCCCATTTTCCTGTGAAGGAAACAATTTAATCAGAAAATGTTTCAGTAGCTTTTCAGAACTCTAATCTTTCAATACTCGGAATTCCCTATAATTCTAAAGAGAGAGAACTTTCTAATCTCAACAAAAAATATTTTCTGGACATAACTTATATCATTTCTCATCTTCAATAAACAGAGTAGAAAATACATAAACTCAAGAACATGAACAATTTTCAAAACTTTATACATCCCTAGGATGCATAAAACTAATTCTTTGCTGTATAAAACTAGCTACTTCATGTGTAGAAGCAATAACCAGTACCAAGATTTCTACCTTACCAAATGTTACAATGGTTTATCTTTACAATAAATAGTATCTCTTTTAATTTCACTTTACCTGCTGACATTCTCCAACTCCACTTAGTGTTCCACTCACATCACACTGGCATGCTGCACAAATGAAAAACAAAAAAAAAAGACAACCAGCAATTTGTCTTTGAAGGGAAAAAAACCCACCATCTTGAATCTTCAATTTTGAGTCATTCTGCCACAAGGTGGATTTTGCTCTGGAAGGTTCAGAACAGCAGACAGATAGTGGTGCAAGGTTAAAAGAAAAAGCAAAGGAGAAAGAATAAGGATTTCTAAGTATGTGCAATTTACTGATGTGTTTTCACATGGTCTAACTTGTATTTGAAAAAAAACAAACAGTATTGAGTTTGAATTTACAATTGTTTTCTTTCTTAGAAACATTCAGACAATTGATGCAAAACAGTTTCTTCCAGCCTGACTAGCACCTTCTATTCTGCAGTGCTGCTCTGGGACCAGTTCAACTCTCCATATGAAACAGAAATGGAGCAAATATTGCAGGAAGGAGCTATGCAGACCTAGAAATTTGGTGAAACCCAGTATTGACTCTGTGGCTGAAGGCAGAGATTATTTACATGAAAGGCGCAGTACTTAACATTTGAGGAGTTGTTTAGTATTTAAAGATCTAGAGTCAAAGATGTAATGATACCAGTATCAGCTCTAAAGCTACTCATCCTATCTAAGTGGCTGTTGTGGTGGAACCTGTTGGAAAGAAAATAATTGGAGAGAATCTTTAAATAATTTTTGCCTTTATCCTTTTTAATCTTTATAATTTTTTTTTTCTGTCTGAGAAACAAACACTCACTGTTAAAAAACACTGAAAAATCACAGATTCTTATAAAGACATAAGCCATAACAGATTTGACACACCCTGTGGTCACAAGGAGGTTTTATATTTCTTTGCAACTAGGAGATCATATGAAGAGAAAAAACACTTTTTTCTCAAAACAATGAGTCAAATTCTGGTTTCAGTGTTACAGGTAGAAGTCCCATCTCACTTCAGAAATTTGCCATAGTGCCATATGAAGCGCACATTGCTGCAATTTAGAGCACACCTTGGTTCAGCACTAGACAAACACTCATGATATTATGGTCTCATTTCTCAAAGTAACTGCTGGTATCATGGGTACTTTGTTGTTACAACTAAGTAGCATAAGAAACATGCTGTTAATATGAGTTGTGAAAGTCCCTGAACATCAAAGATGATTTCAGTGAATACAGATGAGTTTTAAAAGAACTTAACACATTTCATAAGCCAAACAAATATGTCACCTGTACATCCCTCGGGGTTTTCTTTGGCCAGGTTCCAGTACAACGGTTTGCATTTACTACAGGTGGGACCTTCAACGTGCTGAAGACATTGACAATAGCCCTAACGAGAGAAAGGAGCAAATATGGGTTCATCTGTTTCACAAAAAACACACTCCTCTTTTGTACTAAAAAAACCCTATTATTATTAACAGCTCAGGCAGTTTACTGATTTCTAGAGATGCAGGGAAATTGAGGCTGATTCAGACTTCTTAAATTCAGAAAAATTTAAGAAGTCTGTCCTATCAGCACAGGATTTTTGCACTCAGGATATTTTTTATGTATCTCCTCTATTCTAAATGTCCCAATGGATCTACTTTCCAATTCTTTTATAGCCTTATTATAACTGCTATAAGTATAAAAAAAAATTTCCTTAAAAATAATAATTCATTTTCACATTTACTCTTTCCTTTATTGCTGGAAGACACACACAGCTGTATAAAGGAACCTACATAGACAGCCCTTCCATCCATCAGACTTACCCTCTAGGTTGTCTTAGCTACACATTTAGCAATGACTGTGATTTCTAGTAATATGCTACTACTAATAACCATCATTGTATTAATAACAATAATAGTGGAACAGTAACAGTTAAAAAGATATAATAATTATTTCAAGAATAACTTGATGCTGAAAGGGCCTGTTGCAACCCAGAACCAGGTCTTTTGAGACATGCATAGGCTTATAGCTGCACGTATATATTAGTGTTACAGCATACCAAGAAAACATAAAGAGTATGCATATTCTATATATAAAAGATAAAAAAAACCCCCTACCCTTGACAGTAAATTGCACTGGTATGATCAAAGAATAAAACACAAAGTTTATTTCCACTGTTACTCTGCAAATAAGCTTGTGCAATTATTTTACAGTTTAAGAACTCAAGGCTTGAGCAATGACGTGAATGTGTTCAGCAAAGGCACTTGAATGATTAGCAGATACTGTTAGCTGCAATGGTAGAATACTCACGGAGTGAGAACCAATGCTCCCGGAAGGGTCACATTCAGGGCTGACATCTTTATAAAGCAAACACATTGAAAGATCTTTTGAAAACAGAGCTGTGGAATGTAGTAGTGCAGAAGTACAACGTAGCAGGTTGGGTTTTTTAATATAGTTACTTTGGAGGGACTCAAATACTTAACCTTTAATATTTTTCAAATGTGTATTTAGCCTGATTTAGACTATTTGGTTTTGTATGCAAAGTAGTTACTTGAAAACCCACAGATATTTTCTTAATGTTTCTGTGCTATCATCTAAAAATAGGTTTTAATATTACAGTTCACTTAATGAAATGACAAAATAGGTGATTTATGCTCCTGGGGGGGGATCCTCCCTTCCCAGGCTTCAGGTTTTCTACAAAACCTGGCACGCAGCAGACTGCTCCAGAGACCCCTGCAACAAAAGGGGAGCAATCCCAGTCAGAATGCAGGATTTCTCCTCCCAAGCATTACCTTTGCAGTATGGAAAACTGCTGACAGCAAAAAGGCACCTGTCACACCGTCGTCCTGTGACGCCTGTCCGACAGGGGCACTGCCCCGACACGGGCTCACACACGCCATGCTGGGAGCCGTCGGGAGAGCACTGACAAGCTACACAACAACAAACTGTCAGTGGTGGGAGGGTTCACCCCGCAGGCACCAAGCAACAACTTTCCAAAACTTTTTTCTTCCCAATAAATAGCTCACAGGTCCTTCTATAACTCCCAAGGTCTTCAGCCCGATGGGGAAACTAGGAATTTGAGGTGACCTGTACCATATGGACATGGTTTTCTTCCTCTGATCTTGACAGAAACAAGTAGGATTATCTGGAACCAGAATGAAACTCTCTTCCTCAACTTCTTTGTCCCATCCCAAGAGCAGGCTTGGGTTTGACTTTCTGCTTTCTTGATCTTTTTATGGTTACAGAAACCACAGGGCAAATTCTGTAATTAGACCTCCACCTAAAAATATGATGTCCGGGGGGGGGTTGCAACTAGATGATCTTCACAGTCCCTTCCAACCCAAACCATCCTACAATTCTACATAAGACAGAATCTCAAACTGCATGCCCATCATAGCTTTGGATCTGTGGGCAGAGGAGGCCAGAGGCAACCTTTGAAATACACCATGCAACAGTCTTGTTCCAGATTCCTACGTAAGGCCTCAGTTGTGAAATGATTTATGTACACAGGGCAAATAAGAATAATGCCACAAAAAAGAACAATGCTGCTGCAGCCCAGGGGATTAATCTTTGCTCAGATAGAGTCTAAGGGTTAATTAGTTACTGACAATTATTTTAGTGAAATAGGAGCCAATCTCCCAAAGAGAGACAAAAAAACCAGTCAGATTGGGTTTTGCTGTGGTTACAGTGATTAACAACAGCAGAATTATGAGGGTATGTTCCTTCTTTATCATTAATAATATTTTGATTTCTAGGAAAGAGCAGTCCTGTTCATAATGAACAAAGAGCTTGCTGATATTAATGACAGAGCCTGCAGGCTTCCATCCATGTGATGTGAAAAAACTATAAACACGTTCTGGGTCTGACCCACACAACTGATCCATGTGGGCAGGAAAATTTGCTGTTATGATGGAAAATTTGCAGAGTCATGCCCATCAAGAACAGGACTTAGAGTGCAGTGATGGCACACATGACGAGCACACACTAATGTACTTACCATAAAGTTTACAGGACAGTGTGTCAAATATTAGAAGCCCAAACCAAGTTGAAACACAGCTTATGTTCTGTAAGTTGAGTGAGCCAGAACTCATAAATACCCATTGCCCAGCCTAAGCTCTAGATTTCATATTTTAAAAGAGACACACAACTGCACCAAGGGCAAACATTGCCATGATCACATTAATCCAGCTAGCATATGAACAGCAATGACGTGCCAGGGAGGACTATCAGAGTGTGTGCTGGTCAGGAAGACTGGCCACTGCCTGGATTTTCAGTGTTGTTGATGCCAGCTTTGGATGGAACAAAACTATCATGGTTACATAGGTAGTTTTAGGTGGAAATATATTCAAGAAAATTTATTTTCTTCTGCATTGCAAATACAAGAAGGAAAACCCCAGTAAAAGGAGAAAAGACATTTACTCACGCAAACAGCTGGGATAGCTGTAATATCCTGGAGCACACTGGTCACATCTAAGTCCAGCGTAGTTACTATGGCACAGACACTGACCTCTAGGATCACATGTATTCTCCACTGAGCCAACACCATCACATTTGCATTCTGCACAGAGGAAAAAAAATCTGTCCTGACAGATACATGTTTAAATCATCAGTTATTTAAATTAGAATTTGCAAAAAAACCCTTACCTTTAAATGTAAATCAATCATGAGAAAACCAGACAAACCATTATTTTACCACCAAAAATTAATACGCTGAAATAGATGTTTATTCTGTAACTGCCTCCTCAACCACTGATGATCATGTTCCTGCAATTCTATAATGCACAGTTTAGAGATTCAGTGTGATGCCTTGCAAAACGTGTAAGCGACAGAAATCCATCTTACAATGTGTATAATGTCACATGAGAGAAGTACTTAACAGCTTTAAAAAAAATTACCTCTAAGAAACAGCATCCACCAAGCCAGACCAGGTCTAGTGGTTACCAAGATGTGTGTAAGTAACAATGCACAAGCACAAGTTCATGATGAACAAGGTAAAACGTGCCAACATCTTAATTCTACAAGGTGGCAAGCAGTGCATTGCAGGAATCCGCGTGTAATGCTAAAAGCATGTTGTTAGACTATAACTCCACAAATTTCTTGTGGAGTTATCACTATTTTGGCTAGCAGCTCCATCACAGATAACATGTGCTTTTTTATTGAGATGATGCTGGATGTTACACAGGGTCATACTTCATAGGGACACGAGTGAGAGCCCATCTGGGAATCCCAGCCCTCCTAGGTACAAGCCAAAGTGTTGTAGTTAATTCCTTGGATTTTATGACTGACAGAAATATAAACCCAACATATTCATGTTTCTGAATCCTGCTTTCGGTTCCTCTTTCTGCTACAGTCAAAGACATCTGACTTTACTCTGTTTACTTCAAAGACACTTGGAAAGATGCAGGGCTTGCTAGGAAGTGAGTATAAGAGAAATATGAATACTGAAGCTTCCAAAAACTACAGTTCACCTCTAGCTGAATATTATATTGCACTCTATCCTAATTTTAATACTAATGTTTGTTTGAAGGTTTTATTTTGATATCACTCTATTTGAATAAAGCTTCTATTGAGTTCAACAAGGCAAGACCAGAGAGATTAGCATAGTTGCAGCAGCCCAAAAGTTATAGATCTATCTCCCTCTTGAAGATGACAACTTCAAACATTGGAGTAGCAGGCTGGGCTACTCACTTTCCACCACAGTTTGCAGCATGCTGCGTAAATTTAAGTTTAAACCCACTGCAGCTTATTTTAACTGAACAAACTGTGAACTGCAGCAGTTTTGAGTAATCCAACTGACTGTGTTTTCGACTATTTTTATCTGTCTTTTACAATTTGTTTTGCATGCTCTTTTAAGCTTTTATGTCTCTTTTCAGCTTTTGGTGTTCAGAGATCAAACATATTCAATATGGGTTTGATTTGCTTTAAGATTGTTTCTTGATTCTGTTCTAAGGAAAAAGAAAAGGTTATTTTAAAACCACTGAACACTGTGTACCAACACAGAATCCTGATTTTATGTTTTTCATTAAAAAATGTTCATCTACTCCAGATAAAAACCACAGTCATGCGGTATTTCTTTTTTCCACCCACTGTGTTTGGTAACACAACACAACACCTTTGCAAGGTGTCATAGTTTAACCCCAGCTGGCAACTAGGTACATGCAGCCATTCAAACCCCACCTATGGGATGGGGAGAAGTGTGAAGGAGCAAGATTCAAGATGGGAACAGTGCACAGCCTGGACATGCCCGGGCTTGCCACGAATTTGCCTGCTCCTTGCTTCCCCCGCTCCCCTCTCTGGTCGGCTGAAGAAGCAGCAGAGAGGAGACAGGTACCATTTGCCGCTTTCTTCCACGGTTCCTCCCTCTTTCGCCTGTGCCCCTATCCTGATTTGCTCCCTTGTTTGTCTCTCTCATGCCCCACCCTACGTTCTGGCCCTTTCCCTGCCTGAACTGATAAAGAATCCTGCACATGCCTCAATAAACAATTCTACCTGCACCCTACCTTGTGTCCCAGACCTGTGCTGTGCCATGGCCCCATCCCCCTTTTGGACCACAGCAGAGAAGAATTAGAAAAAAAGGTAAAACGCAGCACTGTACACAGTGCTAAGAAGAAAATTAACTCTATTCCAGCCGAAATCAGGACACAAGGGCATAAAGAATTCTGCTGTCCATTCACAGGAGATAAAAAAGTGTATAAGCCCAAAGGAAGCAGACTGACATAGCCAATAACCAAAAATAACATGGTAGAAGAAAGTAAATCATAAGGGTTTACATAAATCCTGTTAATCTGAACAGGAAAGCATATACCAGAACTCAGCAATAGTCTATATTCTTTTTCAACATAAAGTTTACTAAGGATTAAGAGCCCCTCTCTCACTCACTGCAAATGCAGACAAAACCTAGGGTCCAAGTAATACTTGATGGAGTCCTCATGCACACGCAAGACTGTTATGTTATACTCCAAAAGTACGCATTAGAAGTTATACTCCACTGATTTCCTTCTCTTGTAAAAACGCAGGCTAGTCCTTGGTAGCCCACACACCGGGGAAACCCCACAGAGATTTTCCACTTTTCATGATTATACAGACAGAGGTTGGCTTGGTGACTGTCAGATGATCTTAAAACGAGGGAGAAATCACCATGAAGGGCAAAATGGGAGCTTCAGATTTTCAGAACACACATTTTACAAGGTACCAAACACAGACCCTCTGGAAAAGTAGATCAGTGCTTCACAGCTCTGCTATGCCCGTTCCTTAGCAGCCAAGTATGCCCTGTTGCTGTGGGCCTTCATGTGAGAATAGGCTGTGGTTATTAGTAAGACAGCTGTGCTGACTGAGGGTACATCAAATAGTCTGATAATGCAGAAAAATAAAACAACCCTGTGAGTAAACAGACTATATAATTTTTCTCTACTATGGAAACATGCTTGGAATTGGAGAATTAGAGTATATGAGTATTTCAGTGTAAAGCACAAGAGTGCCTGCCCATTTACTAGTGTGAACGTTGCTCCAGCCACTGCCAAAAGGGTACACAAAAAGCACTCCTGTCTGCCTTTTCAGGGGCCTGTTTGATGCTATACATGCAATCAGCAGCCTTACCTTGGCAGGCAGGGAACGAGTGGTGGCCAAGCCGGCAGCTGTCACACTGAAGTCCAGTGACCCCTGAGCGACAAAGACACCTCCCAAGAAAGTCACAGATTTCAGGCTGGGTACCTGCTGAGTTACATTCACACACTGCAAACGAGAAAAGATATTTCAGAGGCAGTCTCTGCACAGGCTCTCTTATCTTTCTTGAAATAAAAATATCAAAAAAAATGTAAAAGCAACTCCCTGAGGCTCAACAGGATCAAAATTTTCTCATCAGATTTATTTTGATTCATAACAGCTTTTACTGATTGCTCACAACAGTAATAATTCAGCATCAAGGGAAACAACGAAAGAGCAAAAGAAGCTGGCTTTAAGTACTGGGTTCAATATCAGTGCCAAAGCGCTACACTTGGCCTGTCTCCACTCAGAGTCTGATTGATCAATATCGAGTGGTATGCCAACTACTGAAAGTAGTTCCATCTCTTTTGAGACTGTCATGAAACAATTTATGGCTTGGATTTACCATCTCAGGTGGAAGTGGTTAATAAAATACCCAAAAAGACAGTTTTATTAAAGTGGCTATTAAAGTTCAAAACCAGTCGGTTTTCTAGTATCAATTAGAAAGAGGAACTTGGTACATCAAACTGATGCTGCAAACTCAAACATAATTTTTTTTAAAGAAAAATAAGGGTAAGTAACAGTAATGTTCCCAAAGGCATTCTAAATTTCATCAGTGTTACTAATCCAACTCCAAACTGGAGTCTGGCAACTGCATCACACAGCAAACAGCAACCAAGGAAACAGAGGCATTTCTAGATTGAAATCTCCCCTCATCACACTTTTCTTCTTCTTTGGTTTGTGTGAGCTTTGGGAGAGCCCTGTATGAACACACCTCCAAGGCAAAAGAACTTCATCCTTTAGTATAAAACTTGGGTCTGTGTTTTGGATATGCTTGTCAAAAGGAATGTTTGGCTTACCCTGGCAGAAGGGGTACTGAAAATACCCCGCTGCACAGGTGTCACAGGAAAAACCCCCAAATCCAGTTCGACATCTGCACTGCCCGGTACTTCCATCGCAGTCATCACCCAGCGTTCCTGCGCCGTGGCACTGGCATGCTGAAGAGCACATTCATAAAGAAAACATTTGCAGCATTACAACCTTAAAGTTCTTATTTCCCTTGGAAGCCAGAGGCTGGCATTTACTCTCCAAGCGTCAAAGAAACTATGGCACTTACGCAGACACTGGGGGCCAAAATACCCTGGTTTGCAGCCACCTTCTAGTTACAAGAGGAAAGGAAAAGAAAGAAACAAAGTTAGTGCAAAAAATCATAAAATTCCTTGTCATTTTGCAGAGAAAAACAGATCAGTGCTTAGTAATTACTACTCTTGAACCAAGAAAACTACTTGTTACACACAAATCTCATTTCAAGAAACAATGAACTGTAATCGTGCTTAGTCTGCCAGCACAAATTTACAACTTCTACACAGAAACCTTCACTTAGAGGCAGCTGCTTTTCTTATTTCTTCAGATGCTGCTCTTTGAAAATGTAGATAGCTCAAGATCTGTTTTCTCCTGTTATATTCATTTTCCTTTGGAGTTTTCTTTCTTCTTTCTTTTAAAAATTTGTGAAATAAGGGGATATGCAACAGAGCATACCCAGAGGTATGCATACCAGGGCAATTATTTTGGATGCTGTATGAAGGAGATAAGTGGTACAGGAGACTGAGGCTTTTTGGGTTGTGACGGCATCTGCAGACACTTTCAAGAAAACAACTGGAACTTGTAAATACATACATGGATTTGTACTGTCTGCTTATAGTTAAATGTCTGCTACATTCAGAGAAGAAAACACTTTTTCGTTTGCCAACATAAATTCTAGTTTTATTAAAGCTAATAGAAATAAAGGTAAGCATGTTGATTTTGGGATATGGAAAAGGTTACAAGGGTTTTTTAAGTCATTAATCCTGACTTGCATTACAAGTACGTAAGCAATTTAGTACTAGCTGTGATGATGTCTCTGTTCTGCAGTACAATAACATATACTAAAAAGCCCACCAAAGGATTGGATTTCATGCAGCTTTGCAGTTGGCTAAATAAGAAATATGTAGTTCTCTTAAAAATCGAAGTCCTTCACTGCCAAGGGCAATGTACAATTTGCCAGGTGAAAGAGGACAGTCGTAAGGCAGAGGCCAGTTAGCATTAAGGAAGAGATTTACACCACAAATCAGGGGTTGTCATGTCAGAAAGTTGTACATGTCAGAAAGTCTTGATGGATCTGTTCATAAGAGCACCATAAGATGGTCAGCCCCTCCTGCAGATGTTTGCCAGAGGCTGGTCAAAGCTATTTTGATCCATAACTCTTTCTGGAACTAGCCCACTAAACTCTAATACAATATGATGAACTTCTAGCAAGAAAAAAGGTTCTCTGAAAGATAAATGCCAACAGTGACAAAATTACTACATAAATCTCCATGAAAGAGCAACCTAAATGATTCTATGATTCTATGAAAGAGCAGGCACCACTGAAACAGTGAAAAACAGCAACATAGGGAAAAACAGTGAAATGGGAAAAAGAAACACCAAGAACTTGCCTATTATGTCACCAGCCACAGCATCTCTTGGAATTGGAGAAGTAAAAGGATATACCGGAGTATCTTTAAAACAAAAGAAACAATGAGGTTTTTTTGAAACAGACATATCGATTTCATGAAAAATAATGACAAACAATGAATTCATCTCCTGTCAATACAGAGAGCATGATATTCATATGATTTCAGCTTAGTTTTCTTTCAGTTAGGAACAGGGTAAGAAACATTTTACTTTTGATTTCCAATTCAGGTACAAACTTCCCTTCTCAAAATAACAGTATGAAAGGCCAGACATCATTTGGAAATTAAACCAAGTTGCTTTCCTGCTCCCTATATGCTTTCATGCAGAAAATTCTCTTCCACCAGACAGTTTTAGGAGAGCTACCTAGGGAGCTCTATATTTATTTCAGACTTCCTGCTTCCAGTTGAAGGTCCATCTCCTTCTATGTGGCATTACCACTTGCTACATGAACTGCCAGAATTCATGACATGTACAGTACACCTCTAGAGCTTTTATTTAAAAATCCTCCAGATTGTTGGAATGTCTTTCCCATTCTTAAACATTCCTGCATATAAGATGGAATCCAAAGCCCATGAGACAAACATCAGTGGGACTTAGATCAATGTCTACCTGAGCTGAAATTATTTAAAAATGTTGGATTTCAATCAAGAGGATATATCAGATGTGACAATCTAGAATGCACTGTACGGACAGGATTTATGCTATCACAGCCATTGAATTTAAACAACATTCAATTTTTACAGGTTTTTTTTTGTTTTGTACTGTTTTCCTCTTCTTGTGTTTTTATCATGGTACCTCTATTTTAGTCAGACCTCAAATCTTGCCCCAGAACAATATCTATTTTATCAGAAACACACTTCTTTCTCCTAAAGGCACAAAACATCCCACCGATGCATTTTTACAATCTTTTCATGGAGTCACAAGCTTCTATGCAGCAAATACAATCCTGATGTTACATTTTCTTCTCAGTTATTTTATATATAATTTTTTATGGCAAAAGCATTGTTTATAAGATATGCAAGTTCCAAATCCTAGGAGTTGTCAAGGAGAGCACATACACGGTTTCTCTTCTCTCTCTCATTATAGTCACATTCTACTTCTTGATCCAAGTGGTCTTTATACCTAAAGACCCTGACACGTTTAAATGATTTGTTCAAGGCTGTAGGACTGGAGTTCATGATTTACTGAGAGATAGGCTGTAGACTTGATGTCTTAAAAGAATGTAGAACTGTGAGAATGCAGCAAAATCTCTTTGATTTTCAAGTCATTACTGTTTTGTTAAATAAACCTGACTCTCTTCAGTATTATAACAACTGATTTATCAGATCATGTAAACATGTGAAGCTGAAATGCCAGATGTTTTCTAACCAAGTCAAGTGTAATGAAAACTGTTAATTCTTTAATATGCCTTTAAAATAGAGAAAAAGAAGCATTTGTACTTGTATACTTACAGATACAAAATGGATAACCATAGAATCCATCAGCACAGCGTTCACAGTTTTCTCCCTGGAAATTCTGCTTACAGAAGCAGCGGCCAGACCCTTCCTCACAGCCTTCTGCATGCTCCAAGTTACAACTGCAGGCTAAATAAAAGTATCCAGCAATTAGGCACTCTTTAGAAAATAATAATTTGCCTTTTACAGCAGTGCACAGTGGCTTTATAACAATAAATTTTCAGTTGTGAATGACTCATTATTAAAAGAATTAACATTTTCATGCAGTTACATATTTCCCAAGGACTTTATATCATCAATACATCTCTTAGAAGAAAGACTGATGTTATTTTCTTAGAGCGAATAGGGTATTTTAATTCCAAAATCTGGACATTATTACTCCACAGCACTGCAGCAATTATCTTTTCTGTGGCAACTTCTCATATCTCTCCATGGTCTAGGCTAAGCACCACACTCCATTCATGTTCCCTGACACACAACATGCAGCATCATGGCCATGGCTTTGCTGACTTCCCATTCATTTCAATACATAACTGTATTTTCATCCCACCTGTGACAGGGATCCTTCAGCCTATTTGTAATCCAACCCTTGTCTCTTACCTATACTCAGTTCTTCTCTTTTAAATGTTCCATTAGAATTTATCCTATTGCATCCCTTACTAGTCAATAGGTTCAGCATTGCATAAAATCAGAGTAGTGATCCTTGTGACCTTTTGAGCTATAGAACAAAATCTTCAAGTGACTAAGAGCCAAAGGATACCTCACATGTACATTAGAGAGCTAAGAGAAGCAAGACCATGAGAAGAGATGAGAGTGGCTCCCTAGAGGTCCTGAGGTCCTCCTCACTGCGGGGTGTAGCAGTACCCCAGCTTTCCGTGATCCTATCTCCTCACTAGCCTTTACTGCCTTGCTTCCTCCTGTTGTCCTGCTGCTGGTCTGAAGCTTTATGCTCATATGACACATAAGTAGAGAATATTACAATTAAAAAGGTCTAAAGCAAGACAGAAAGTCATTTGCAGCTGTTCCCCAACATCTTTTGGCCACTTTTTCATTTTTCCTCCCCAAAAGATGCATCTTATGCCTCTATTATAGCCAAAAACTCCCAAACCACCACAAGAAGATACTGCATAGAGTAGGACTCACGTATACAGCCATCAGGAGCTCTCACTGGAACACCGTAAGGACGATAGTAACCTTTTGCACACTTCTCACAGTTAATACCAGCTGTGTTATGCTGTGCAAAATAAAACAAAAGGAGAATATGAGGTAAAAAGAGGAACTTGGAAGAATTAAGAAACAGTAACATCCTGTTTCTGTATACAACTAAGAAAGGAAGAAAGGATTGGCACAGGAAAAAAATGGACTATGACTGCAATGAAGACAGCAATCATCATGCAGCCTTCTTTAACCACCTTTTCCCTACAGGCTTCTGAATCATGGTATTCTTGCATAAAGCAGCTGAATTTTATCTTTAAAACACTATAAAGAAAATGACTTTTTAAAAAATTATTTGGAAAAATTCTCTTTATATCATGATATCTCTTCTTATCATTCTTACGATATCTGCTTTCTTATCATAATAAATATATTGTTCAAGCAATTATGAATTTTTCCTCATACTTTATATCAATTTTTTGCATACTCTGTGTCTAAGATCAGTCATATCAAAATAAACCAAAACCTAAACAGTCCAGTCAGCACAAAACAGATTTTTCCATTAGAAAAGTATATGTCTCTATAAATACATGTTTTAGGCACACAGAAAAAAAATCCAAAGTAATTTGAACTACATCAAAAATATGTAATTGCTCTGTGAACACAGTCCTGAGTGTATTTCAATTTGTGCAGCAAAGCTCTCTCCTGCAACGGGTCTGCAGGAGTCTGCAGTAGCAATGGCAAGTACCAGTTCAGTAAATCATGGTCACAAGAAGGCATCCTGATGAGCTCATAGATGTGAGAGCAGGGAAACAGAGCAGGAAGCTTTGCCCTGGAGCAATTAAAGTAGTTTCCCCCAACTCCCACTCCTGTTTAGTTCCTCCTTAGGGTGTGTTGCAATTCAGGGCTGAGCAGGGACCCAGTATTTACTAGAGGGACTGGTGGGCAGTTATGAACAGGGCAGCCAGGACACTGCACATTCTTCAGAGACTACTGGTGCTAACTCCAGTGGCACACCAGAGGCCCCAGCCCAGACAGAGCTTCAGGAAGAGGATGCCACTGTCCAGGTCTGGGGCAGTGGAGAGTGCCCAGGCCTCTCCCTGGAGCTTGGGGCAGGTCATTAACCTGTGCAGAGCTTGAGGCAAGGATCAGAGGACAGGCCAGCACAGCTGATACTGCAGACCACCTGAACAAGAAGGCAAATGAAATCTTCTTTAGGGAACAAGAGAAGGTGTTATTACTCAGACAACTACAGATACTGCAGACAGCTAGAGATACCACAGATAACTTTAGTCAGCTTGGTATCTGCCAGAAGGGCAATGCAGCAAGGTGCAAGCAATCAAGAAATTATTCTGAATGTATGAAAGGCAATTTCTGATGTAGAGGTTCATGAACCACTTAGGGGAGATGCTCTGTTCCAAATGACACCCACTAACAAGGAAGAACATGTGAAGTTGAGGGCAGTGCTGGCTGCAGTGACCTCGAGATTGTGTATTTTAAGATTCTAAGGCAATGAAGCAAGACTAATAGCAGAATTACAATTCTGGGCTTCTGAAAAGCAGATTTTGCCTTGCTCAGATAGCTGCTTGGGAAGATTCTGTGTGAAACTCTCCTGGGGGGAAAGAAGACCAAGGGAGGTAGTTGATTCTCAGGTACAGCCTCAGAAAAACAACAGTTCTTTCCAATGTGCAAGTGTGGCAGAAGGCCAGAACAGATAAACACAGATTTCCTGATTGATCTCTAACTCAGAAACAAAGTACACAGAAGGTGGAAGCAGGGACAGGCTACTTGGTGGCAATACAAAGATATTGCCCAAACATGCAGGAGTGGAGTTAGGAAAGCTAAAGCCTAGCTGGAGTTAAAACTAGCAAGGAAGATGAAGTGCGAAAGGAAAAGTTTCTAGGAGTAGAGCAGCAGCAAAAGAAAAGACAATGGGAATTGACTGATCAGTGTGTAAGGAGATCCAGTGGACAAATCATCTTAAAACACACAAAGGACTGGAAGGTGACAGGACATATTTAACATAGTTTACCTAGGGCAAAGTATGCCCGATCAACTTCATGAATCTCTCTTACCAAAGGTGCACAGCAATAGGATGAGAGGCAACAGGCACAGATTGGAACATGGGAAATTCCAATTAGATATTGGGGGAAAAAATTTATCAAGTCAAAACACCTGAACAGGTTGCCATGAGTGGGTATGCCATTCCTATCCTGGGAGGTGTTCAAAGCTTGGATGAACAAGTTCCTGAGCAACCTGATCTAAATAGACCCGGTCTGAATAGGCAGTTGTACTATGTGATTTCCAGAGCTCCACTGTTATAAGACTCTAAAGAAACTAATCTATCTTTGTATGCAACATCTATCATTTCTTCATTGAGGCATCCATTCCTAACACTTCTTTCCCCCAATGAAAACAGAAAAAGTAAATTTAAATCCATGCACTTTATTAATAAAAAAAATAAATCTATAATTAGATCTACAGTAAACTCATTAATCCAAATTAACTTCCACAAAATTAACTGCAAACAATTCATAACAGTCATATAACATAGAACTCATAGATTTAGACTAATTTTGCTCTTTTCTATCCTGGAAGCAATATAAAAGAAATGTTCTCTCGTGAACAAAGAGCTGACAGAAAGGACCAACATGATAAATCTTACTAGACTGCATGAAGAAAGTTCTGCACAGAAATGTCAACTGGAAGACAAAGAACATTTCTTCTACCCATGCTAGTAAAAATAGCTCTACTCTCTTCTGACTGCCTTTTGGACAATATCTGATTATATTGTGGCAATAATAATATGGAAAACATACTCTTTACTGGATATTTCCTTTTTCTGTTCCTTAAATACAGCTATATTTTTAAATGCACAGCATGATAATACATAAATCATGAGGTTTCACAGGAACATAGACTTGATGACGATTTTCCTGTAATGCAACGTTCTGGTCAGCTGCTTGTCACCACACATCATGCACCAGATGACTAGACAACAAAAGGAAGACAGACTTCCAAATAAATTTGGATCTATTTAACCATGAGGTCACTGAACCAATGAATAATTCAGGTCGAAAGGGACCTCAGGAGGTCAAGTGGTTCAGTTTCACTCAAAGCAGAGATAAGTCCAAGATTAGATCAACTTTATCAGAGCCTTTTATGATCTTTCCTCATAGCAATTAGCCAGAATAGAACAAGTTACTCAGAATGAGAGACATTCTTTCTCTTTCCAAGAACATGTTCTCCATCTGGAGAAGAGATGTTCCAGGAGGATAGAGGTGCCTAATGACAGTTTTCCTCTACCTAAAGAGGGAGTTACAGACAGAAGTTAAGACAGAACCAACTCTTCTCACAGATGCACAACAAAAGCCCCAAAGTCAACTATCACAAGTTGCAACTGGGTAAATTCCTACTGAACAGTAACAAAAATCTCTTTACCATGAGCGTGATTAAGTGCTATAAAAGATTACCCAGAATCTGTGTAATGTGCATCCTTGGTCTAATTTTCAGAAGTAACTGGGTATTCCTCAGTGCAACCAGATATAATTTTGCATCTAGCCTTGGTTTGAGTGAAGCATTAGTCCAGATGACTTCCAGAGGTCCCTTGAATGATTCTGTGCTTTTCCAATACGAGTAAGTTCCCATCTTGGTAGAGTCTATATCCTCCTTTACTTCTGCTGATGAGGGAGAGCCCTCTGTGTTTTGCTGCAGTAAGGAACCACCTGGCCTGAGCTGGCATTTTATTTGGTTAATTTTACTTCCTTCTGTTAAGCAAGAAAATGTTTTTATAGTTGATTGAATTGTTACATTATGTGGTTTTATTTGAATCACACAGGACTGAGCCAATAAATACAATTTGTATATGTCTTTTACACATTAACAAGTATTGTTGTACAATGTAAATTATTTTCACACATCTTTTTCCATGCTTTGAGTACACCAGAAAAAATGGGCCTATCTAGACTGGTCAGCCCCAAAACTATTGGTGTGGAGACAGTTCCACTCCAGTAGCCCTTCTTCAATCGACATTTATTTAAACTGTTCAAAATGACGTTTTTACCTGGCAGTTAATGCAGACTCCTCCACCTTCATAATGCCCATGGATGTTTAAGCTTTCTCGACGCTGATCAACATCAGCATCATAGTAGCAATCAGTGGCATGTCCATGGCAATTGCAGGCTGAAAAAGTAATATTCTAAGTCAGCTTTCTTTTTATTGCTGGAATTCAGTAACATAGCAGAGTGGAAAAGAAGTTTAGATTTTTTTTATGGATATACTCAGGCATGCTGGAATGCACTCAAATGCACATATTTACCTATCAACAACTGAAATTTCATATTTTCACACCAGAAATATGGTACAGTCATGTAGTCATAAAGAAAAAGTGCTACTAGGCTTATCAGAGGAGGCAACAGTTGTACCATCTCAAGCCTATATAGTTATGCATAAATTCAGAACTAGGAAGCTCCAGAAGAATGGTTACAGCAGCTTTTTAAAATTATCAAAAAATTGCTCAAATGTTTATTCTATTTTTTCATGTCTAACAAGATACATCTGGGCTGATGTTCTGTCCATGAAACCTTTATTTAAAATAAACAATTACAGATAAGATATACATATTTAAACATAAAGACCTCCACCAAAGAACTCTCATATTCAGCTGTAGATACAGATATACCAGCAAGCTTGGCTATACATTTACGCAGCTGCTGTCTTCTGAATGGAGACATTTTAAGAATGGGTTGATTCTACTTCCTGAGATTTGTGAACACAAGAAGTGTGGTTTAGAGAAGTGTGGTATGAAGAACAATAATACCGCCAACAATATTGTTGTTGTTATTATTACTATTTAGAAAAGGATAGAATTGGATGACCAAGATAACCCCTTTCCCCAGTGTACAGTTGTTTATAGTCTCAGCTGTGATAAATTTTACTTTGGGTGGTTTGTGGCTAGCTCCTTTCCTTTACTTTTCCCTCCTGTTAAGCTAAACAAATGTAACAGCTGAACTCAGAGTTGCTCTGAATCCACTACACATATATGTTCTGCTACACTTTTAACTCCTTCTCATAGATGTTAAGAATGCACTGCTCAGAAAAGATCAAGAGATATCCGTGAGGCTTTGCTTGCAGGCACATCAGCCTCACAGGTGCTTCACCCTAGGATGTTCACCTATTGAAAACATCTGAGATAAATCTGCTGATGTATCCACTTGTGGCCTTGTACAGACATCAGGCCTTCACCAATCTCCTTAGATCAAGGTGGGAGAACTTAATCCCAAAAAACTTTGCTCTTTTACCTTTGGCAAAAAAGCCTGACAACATAAATTGCAGGGCCAGTCCAATGTTTGAGTAAAGGGTGATGGATTTACCCAGAAAATAATTTATATAATTTCCTACAGATCAGTTATTTATATCTCATCTTAGTTAAAACTAATCCTTTTCCATTAGTCATATAAAGCTCTGCCTGTCTTCACTGAAGTCTTCCAGAACTATAATATAATTCAGAGTAGTAATCAAACATAACAGCAATCAAACAGAATAAATCAAAGGGCATGACCATGGTTTTGCCAGAAACTCATCCCACGTCCTCTTTTTTCTCATCCGATCTTTCCTCACTGGAGAGGAACAAATGGGAATTTTCCTGAAAGAATGCAGGAACCAAAAAAGGCTTCCCCAAGCATCTGCGTGCTAGTTGAGCCTTTAATTACAGCTGCTTCGGCACTCCAGAGAAACCTACCCAGGAAATTCCTCAAGTTTTGAATTGACAATGCTATTATTTCATGTTTAGGGAAACCCTCCATTCATCTGGACCTGGGGATACAATATTCAGAAGGCAACAGGTTACAGAAGTTAAGGGTCCTGGCCCTCCTTTCTTCATTAGGAGGGAAGTATATGGGAGGTAATTCTTCTCTATTCCAAGCAACTGGCACAACTGGGAGCTCAATTCATGGACAAGTGATTCTCCATGCCTTGCTATATGATCATACAGACAAGGGAAACTGGATAATTCTCTGTATCTGCTCCATGTCCTTATATCTGAACAGCTGTGGACAAGGGAACTCTTTCCTAGAAACTAACAACCACACAGCCGAGGTGCTGGCCTGCCATCAGGTTTCCTTATGGTCTGCTGACAGGAAACCAGACAGATCAAGACTAGGTTCCCTGGCCAGGTTGTGATAGCCTATGAAGAACTGTGGGGTTTTTTATTCATGTAACTCTTCAAGAAAATAAAACATTGCACAAATTAGATGCTGGCTCAACATATTAAGTCAGAAAAGGAAAGAAGAGAATATAAAAAATATATGTATATATTTACAGTGTAAATAATTGCTCCCATGCCTCTAGGGCCAAACTGTCTCTGAGCTACAGATCACATGTCTTCTAACAGCAATGGGAAATTATTTCCTCTGATTATAGTAATAGTATGTTCTCTTAGAGGGCAACAGAGATCCCTTCTACCTCATCAAGGATGTTTTCACCACTTCAGGCCATTTGCTGTCCCATACAGTACTGGGAAACTCGTAACAAAATGTTGGGCTGATCCCTACAAGCTCCCACCAACCTCTTTCGGTTTCTCTCAAAGAACCTCAGGCTTCTGGAAAGTAATGGGGTTGCTTTAATTCCCTCACTAATGGCTGCCAGCAAAAGAGGTCTGCACCTGGCAAATGCTCACAACAAATCAGCTCAAACAGCTAGGAGCAATCCATACTAAAAAGGCTATTTTTTTCAGAGGCACTTAGAAACAGTTGTTTTGGCTCAGAATCTTGTAGATGATACTCTGTAAACTCACTCTTTAAAAAACATGACATTATTTATGCTCTTTATCTCTCTCTTTTCTGGCAGAAAATATTTTCCTTTCAAACAGGGGAACTTGAATGAGGTTTCAAATATTGTTCGAAAACTGTGTCCCAACATGCCTACTTCCTATCAAACATCTTAATCACACACAACCTGCCTTCCCCCTCCCAAGTCGTAGTACTGCAGTTTTCATTAAATAAGTCATCTCTTTATTCCTCAAACTAATTATATAGGTACATCTCTGGCTTTCGAATAAAGTTCTCCTGTTAACAGTTTGTACCCACTGGCTATGCTACTCTCAGGAAAGGCAGACGAGAAATATAGATTGGGCCAGACACAAAGGAGATGGCTGTGCACAAAGGTTGCAACACTTTCTGTACCACACTACCTGGTTTCTGGCCAGAGGGATGTAAAACACTTCTGTGTGACAGTACATAGCCATCACCAAAAGAGAGTCTGTGCTGTCGCTTTCTTTAACAAAAGAATGAAAGACAGGGGAAGTGGGAGAAAGGCAAACTAGTGGCCTTCTCCAGCTTGGCTACTTTGTCTGGCTAGCATACTCCAAACTCCCAACTATAAGTGTGGGATCACCAGGACTCCCCACCAGGAACACCTTTGTGCCCACTGACATACAGTCAGTGAGGGACAACCGTCAGCATGAGAAGGGAGGGCAGCTCAAACACCTGTAAGCAGTGGCAGCCTTGAGCAATCTCTCTGCAATCTGAACACCAAGATGCCTCTAGTCTCTGCTCTTCTGGGAGAATCCACAGTCTGTCAGCAGACAGCTATGACTGGGGAGAGATGTTAACTCAGTGTACTACAAGAAGGCTTCCACTTTTCTCATGTCATATTTTCAGACAAATTAGTATTTTAGATGTTTAGTAAGAAAGAAGAACATAAATAATATTCACTGCATCCTCTTTTTCTCATTGCTGTGTGAAAAGAATTTCCTTTGTAAAGAAAAAAAGGCGTTAAAACATGCAGTGTGCTAGTTATGTTCAATGAACATGTGTGCTGCAGCTAATTTCCACCATCTGGTCAATATCCCTTTTAACCCACCATCTTTTCGGCTACTCACGTTCACATATATTTGTGCTCCCAGCTGTTGCAGGTTGCCATTGTTTCTGATTATATCCAGGGCAGCAGTGATCACAGGTTTCCCCACAAGTGTTATGCTGACATTCACACTGAAATCTACAGATGACAAACGCTCTTAATGAAGCTGAATTTCAATGTTTTTTCTTAATTTTTTAAATAAAAATTATTATTTTTCCTTATTTTACTGCAGTCCAAGACTAACACATAAGTGTGAAAAGGACAGGATATAAGCTCACATGAAAAGAGGTCAATCAGTAATACTGGAACATTTTGGAACTTCCATAAAATTCTTCATGATTGACTACTTTAACCATGTAATTATGAGTTTATTAGCACAGATTACTTATAGAGAACATTTATATTTGGAGTTAATAGACTGGATTATGAAACTATTCTAGAATATTAAACAAAGATGATATATAATAATTTAGGATGTATTCTATTTCAGCTTCATTCCAAGGCTTAGGCTTGTTGACCCACAATTAATCAAAATAATTATCACCTTTATATGCACACTTTCATAATTTTTTCATTATGCTTTGTTTACAATGATTTCATCAATGTTTTTAATAAACCAAGATCATAACTTCATCTATTATTTTAAAAATAGTGCACACTATTCATCGAGAAATTTATTTTTTTAAATTTAGCTGAATAGCCTATGTAAAAAGCAGGCTTTAATTATGGGCTAGGTCTATCACGCATAGCAACTAAATCCCAGAAGGAACAAAGACTTTGAGACTGGAGAAGCCTTTTCCAATTTTCCTCTCTTATCTATGTAGTCTAATAATAAATAATAATAAATTTTCAAGTATAACCATCCTATTCCTGTAGATTTTACAACTTCTGTACTTACTCTTCTCTAATATAGACATCTTGAATGGAAGCACCCATCTCCCCACTTGCTGTTCATTAAAACACAACAGAAAATATTGCATTGCCCTGATAGAAGATTGTTTCAATGCCATCATGGATAAGAGCAACAGCTGGTTTAAACCAGGTTTTTAAAATATGTTTTAGATAGACTGACTATTAAGTCACTTCCATATAGCAGGTGAGCCGAGGAGTCTGATCTAACCCTTTGTGAAATGAACGTGGAGATCATAAACTTCACAAAGAAAGGGAATGGTTATTTTTTCTAGTAATGATTGAAAGCCACTGAATCTTGGCTGAGCTCAGTTATAATGCTCAATACCTCTATGAAGTTCACTGATTTTGTTCCTGAGTTGGATTTCCTGTTGTAAGAGGTCATATCAATTCATGTTTCCAAAAAGAACAAAGGGTTTCTAAGAAATTATTCTATCTGCCAAGCTTCTATTTCAATTAAAAAGAAAAATCCAAGTAAAGATTTTTTATTATTATATTTCCCATTAAATATAATTCCCTCTTGACATGTTTTCTTATTAACCATTTGTAGAGTCTATTTTTTTTTAAATGTAATGGAAAAAATCGCTGTAAGACTGTATGATTCTATAATAAAAAAAGATCATTTGAAAATATTTATGTATTGTTTTTATCAAATCCATGTTATGCTCCATTTACTTACTGGTATTGGTTTTCAGCACTCTTTGCCTTACATTCTTCAGCATGGCCATGGCAAACACATCGACCACCAATACTGATGTCCTTTATACTGTAGTAATACTGTGGAACAAGCACAAGAAGTATTTATACGTCTTTCCTTACTTGTATTATGTCAGAAATACCAACATCACATTGTTAAATCTTGCTTATTAGAACTTTAAAGGCACAACTTTACAAAAAGCCAAATCAGGTAGCCAATAATCAACCTTCTGTTGATGGTGATGTCTCAGTATGAGACATCCAGCAAATCAAATACCCATGGGGCACCTAAAAGGAGCAGGTTTGCGCAGTTCACAAAAAACACATGTTGCTGAAGTTCTCCATTCCCTAGCAGCTACACAGTCACCAGTACCCAAGCCCAAAGCTTGTTCCAAATCAGCTTGAGGATGGAGATGTAAATTACTGTCAACACATCAATTCATGAGATTGTAGTCTGATCAACAAACAGGACATGCTGGTAAGGGAAGTGTAGTTTCCCCATTCAGTCAAAAATTATCACTAAACAGTAGAAAAAGACTGAAATTACCACCTTGGTCAAAATCATTCATGGCTCAAGATGGATTTGAAACTGTGACCTGAAGTTGAACCACTTTGTATCTCATCCCCATGCCTTGCAGGCATACAGGCAAAAAAAAAATTTAGTTGGTTCAACTCAGTAGAAATATCATTAGTGTACACATATCAATAACAACTTCTGCATACATTTCTGTAGCTTAGAAGTCGTTTCCTTGTCTCCTTATGGCCAGACAGAACAGACAGCTGGTTGTACAGATTGATACTCCTTCAGAAAAATTAAAGAGGCAGATAAAGCCACTGGAGGACAAAGAGAAAAAGAGTTGCAACACTATGCAGGTACATCTCCTGCGCTCACTATTCACAGTACGTCCCCTGTAAGCCTAGACTCTCTCTGTGGTGATCCTTCTGCTCTATTCAGCATCAGTGAGGCCACACCTGGAGTGCTGTGGCCAGACTTGCGCTCTCTAATACAAAAGACACCATGTGGTTGAGAGCACTGTCCAAAGGCTTCTTGAACTCTGTCAGGCTTGGTGCTGTGACCACTTCCCTGGGGAGCCTGTTCCAGTGCCCGACCACCCTCTGGGTGAAAAAAACTTTTCCTAATATGCAACCTAGACTTCCCCTGACACAACTTCAGGCCATTCCCTCAGGTTTTCTCACTGGTCACCACACAGAAGAGATCAGTGCCTGTGCCTCCTCTTCCCCTCATGAGGAAGTTTTAACTGCAATGAGGTCTCCCCTCAAGGCTGAACAGACCAAGTGACCTCAGCTGCTCCTCATACAGCTTCCCCTCAAGGCCCTTCACCAAGTCTGTTGCCCTCCTCTGGAGAGTCTCTAATAGCTTAATGTCTTTCTTATATTGCAGTGCCCAAAAGTGCACACACTATTCAAGGTGAGGCCACACTAGTGCAGAGCAGAGCAGGACAATCACCTCCCTCGACTGGCTGGTGATGCTTTGCCTGATGCCCCCCAGGACAGGGTTGGCCCTCCTGGCTGCCAGAACACTGCTGACTCATGTTCAACTTGCCATGGACCAGGACCCCCAGGTCCCTTTCCGTGGCACTGCTTTCCAGCACCTCAATCCCCAGTCTGTACAAACATTCCAGGTTGCCCCATCCCAGGTGCAGAATCCGGCACTTCACCTTGTTGAACTTCATATGGTTTGTGACTGCCCAGTCCTCTAATTTGTCAAGGTCTCTCTGTAGGACCTCTCTGCCTTTGATGGAGTCAAGAGCTCCTCCCAATTTTGTGTCATCTGCAAACTTGCTTAGTATCCCTAAGTTTTCATCTGTTTCTGTAATAAGTTTACCATAAAGATTTTTTTAAGACTATTAACTATTTCATAGACTTGGAAGGTCTCTACAATAAAAATCTGCACTCTCTTTTAGCAATTTAATAAAACACTTGACATTTCATTCATCTATCCTACACCCCGTGGCTAGGATAACATCAGAAGTTCTTCATACTAAAGCTGTGCTGCTCGCCAAGTAAACTAAATACTGCATTTACATCTGCCTGTGAGCAACATCTTAAAGTTTACTTAAGACAATAAAGGCAATTAATGAAACTGCTATCAAACAACTGGAATAGCTTTATGTTTTCCAGTACCAAAACCCTCACACGCATTCATGCAGTGCCTCACCCCAGGGCTTCCTCCAATTGTTACCAGATCTTCATTTTAAATGAAAAGGTTAAAAATAGCAATACAATATGAAGTCTTCAATCTCTGTAAGTATATGAATTTCTGTCTGGTGTTCCCTTGAGGAAGCTGAATTTCCTTACATTTCCCCACTGAACAGGAGTGGGACTTCAGCCTTCAAACTCTTAGATAGCCCAAAATCCACAGAAAACACCTAGGCATCTCAAACGATTTGTGGAAGGATAGTAACTTTCAAGTACAGCCTTTGATTCCTGCTCCTTCAGAAACTCGGGTACCGTTTACAGAAAATTTTTCTTTGGATATAAATAACAGAAAGTAGTTTAAAAAAAAGTTGAGAAGATTTGGTTCCTCAGTTCTGTGTAAGATAGTTTAGAATATTTCTGCTTTGGCTCTTCATAGCTCCTATGATGCACCAAACTTCCTTCCATATTAGAAAGCAGGGAATGAAGATGGCTTGTTACAAAATCATTAATCACTACTTCCCCTCCATAAATCTGTGCTCACCTAGTTACCTTCTTGTCTCAAATGAACCTGGAGAAAATAGGGGGATTTAAAGGCGAGTCAGCGTAAATTTCATTGTTAGCATGTTGCAAACGTAAAACATTCAGACCATTTTTTGGTTTCTAACATGCTTTAATATGATTGTTCAGTACACACGTCTCAGTGAAAACAGTACTTACTCTGCGAGTTACAGTGGGGTCCCGCTGAGCTTTGGATATCAAGTGTCCAAGAAGAGTATTAGTTCTGAGAAAACGAAGGCGGATGTTTGTTGCTTTTGTGAATTCTCGAAGATTAGGGGAATAAGTGAAGTTTTTTGCTCCTGGGCGGCCATTTACCAAAGATACTACAACCTAACAAAGAAGTAAGCACATTTTTTTAAAAATATATCAACTGCAAGTGCCAGTGGTGGCACAAAGCAAAATAAATAAAAGAATCCAAAACCCGACTATTGTTTCTGAACGTATTTGCTGTAACAACTAGGCATTTCATGCTGAAGCCAGGATATTGGGAAAAATAGTGTTGTTAGTCTTGGCCCCTCCTGAATTCTTATTATCCATATGGCACACAGGAAAAAAAGAAAAAAAGTGCCTCTCTCTGTTTTGGAAACAGTAGGTATTACATGCAAAAATGTAATTACACGTCTTAATAGGAAAAAACAATAGGAATAGTTGCAAATAGTTGTTTTAACAGTTGACAGTGTCAATGGGAGTTTTGCTTGAGTAAAAACATCAGGTTTTGGCTCCTTCCCAAAGCACATTTATTTTTGGGTTAAGGCACAAACATTCCTGGAAAATATTATTGTTACCAGGTCCAGTGCCTGTGAGCATATTAATGGTCTTTTGGAAGAAAGTACACAGTGTTGCTTTAGAAAACCCCCTCACATGAAAGCAGGTTTGTCTGACTTCCAAAACAAGGGCTCCAATACTTTTTTATTTTTTAAAGAAACAGCTGCCAGCAGCCTAGCAATCATGGACCTCTACTGAATGAACAATCTAGTGTGTACGCACAGGGCTTAATAAAAGACTTCCATTTATTTATAACCATCCAGATAACAGATTTCTATTTTCAAATGGCTCCTGTACTCTAAGGCACGTAACAAGGGAATGATGGCTGTTCCAATTGCAGCACAATTCCTTCAGAAATAGTCACAGAGCATATAATAGGAGATGGCACTAGCAATGTTCTTCTGTGGAAATTATCCTTTACAATATCTTATTAGGAAAATTTTACAGATATGTTAACAAACAAATTCTATTCTAATATGAATCCCGAGATCCAAATGCTCAAAACTCTGGATAACTCTTGAGGAGTTTAGATCTGGATTCTAACCACATCAGGACTAAAAGGAGAATGCCAGGAGAAGCCATCAGCATGGGTTGCTCTGAGGAGCCCCTACCCTCATAGGGAATAGTGAAATTTAGGAGGAGTCAAGTCACCCTCCCAAAATCTCACCATGGTTATGGACCTACTAATGAGGATTCAAGCAGTCATAGCTGAAAAATTACTTCCAGCAAACTTCCCAAACCAATGCTGTTTGCTTCCAGCATTACACATTACCTTCCTAAAAGCACTTACCTCTCCATTTTCAAGAGGCAGAATGCGAGAGTACTCTGTGGTGCAAAGGACATCATTGTCCCTCCTCACGGGAAGATTAGCTTCCTTTCCAAAGCGCTCCAAGCAATCTGCTTTTGAGTCTAGTCAAGTAAGAATAAAATTAATCTTATATGTGAAAATAAACACTATTGTTCTAATTTAAATTAACAAAGAAGAGTCCCCTGTGCTTTCAGGTAAATTCTATCCCATAACAGAATAATAACAGTGATTGTGTAGCTCAGCACAGAAAAACAGAAATTCCTAAAAACAATCACTTCTCTTCCCAAGCAATTCAGTGGTGCCTGACAAGACATGGCCCTGTATTTTTTGTATCATCACAAAGAAAAAAGTTAGGTAGGTACTCCAAAATTTTGCATTTGTATTTCACTTTGATTTTTGCAAGAAATTTCAGGGTCCCATGAGATGAAGGACCCTGCAGTTCTGACATACCCAAAAAACAAGACAAACAAAATAAATCAAGAATTCCCAAAAGAGTGAAAAAAATTCACAAGCTGAATTACACATTTAAAATATCATACTCATACACTCTTATCACTAATTTATTGTAGCTAACTAAGAAAAGAGAAATGTATTTAACATTCACTGTCTTCTCTGCAGTTGAAATCTTCAGCAAATCCCATAGTTAGATTTGCTGCTACTGAGTGAATGATTAAAGAAACCTGCCAACAAAAGGGCAGTGACACAAGGATTGATACTTACAAGCAAAATATTGCCAGGGACTGTAAGTTCTTCCAAAGTCCACTGATCTTTCTAAGACCCACAGATCTGGACGAGGAGAATTTGCAAACTTGATAAGGATGTAGGCAACATGGAAGAGCTGGTAACAGAACATACATAGATCTTGTCAGGAGGTTTTTTGAAGTCTATAAAAGTACCATAACAACAAAACTAATGCAAATAAACACCTTTTCTTTAGTGTACGGGGAGAAGGCTATTCTCTGCAGTTTCATTCCCATTAAAATAAGAGGACAGATTCTCAGCTGGCTACCTCACCTGGCAACATGCTCAAGTATAAGAAAACTGCAACAGGACTGTGTTAAATGCCATCTCCTACATTTCAGAACACGTCTGTTGTGCAGACGACTGACTGCTTGGGTGTGTTAAGGGTATAGTACTTAACCTTGAAAAGTTAGCATCTCAACACATCATTGAACTAAGATACTTTTGCAGAATCCTGGTACATCGGTTAATCACATAATTGTGCTTGTAGTCAAGGAATATAAAAATGGAGTAAGAGAAAATGCACGCACCCTTAATGCTGGGACTCCTTTGCCTGTGATTGATAGCAATCTCAGAAACCTGTTCCTCATTTTAAGAATATTTCCAGATAATTTTGCCACTTGACAGACTTTCCAAGTAGAAGAAGCAAGCCACGCTAGAGTTTTGTGGGTATCAAATAACACAGGAGAGATTCTTATGACTAGTAGCTCATTCAGTGTCTGAAACAGCTCAAAGAGCTTCATCAGCTCAAGGTTTCCAAGGCCAAGGTGCTCATTGTGTATCACAGAGATAGACCACAGAGACAGAAAGCTCCCAAACATTAGGGCAAAAATGGATTTGACAAGAAAAGACGTCTTACTGTAAGCCTCTTGGGACAATCCACAGTCATAAAACCGAGAACATCAGTAAAAACTATCTTTTCACAAAAAGCTAAACAGATTCATTCTAAAGGTCATCTAAAATTTAAACAACCACAACATGGATAGGAGCTGCCAATGAAAGTGAACCAATACTAAGGTACAGTCAATATTCAAGTGAAGCTGCACTGGAATTTCCCCCTCAACAAGCTCACTTCAGAATTATCTGCTGGCAGGAGATTCTCACTTTGATGGGAGAGTTACAGTCAAAGGTTTGTCAAGTACCTGATGCCAGAGCCCCCACATCAAACACACCCAAGCAGTTTATCTTTGCGCAAACCTCACAAATGTCATAACCCTGAAGCTAATACTTTGCAAATGTTATTAGACTCCAAACCACAAGAGCATACAAGCTCTCAACCACAAACTGGGAACAGCATCTTTTGGCATGCCTGGCCCATTCAGCTGCCAGCTAGGAACAGTTCAATAGCTGTCACACCAACTGGGACGACCAAGAGGGATATTGGCCATACAGACATTACATGTCATCCAGTACGGCTATTCAGTGCAAAGACTGTATACTTCCAGGAAAGTATAATATTTCTGAAATTCCTAAAGAAATAAGGTGTTTTATATTCTTGTTTTAACTCAGCTGAATCTCTCAAGGGGCATGTGTTCAAACCAGGTTTGCACTGGGCAGGCAACTGCCTATCTATGAATAGTCTTTTTTCCCTTATATTTTAAGGTCTTTAGAAGTCCCATCCTTATGTGCACGTTAGCAGATAACAGTCTATGTTTTGAATGACACAGATTTAATCAAGACAAATGATTAAACTAGAAATCTCAAGAGGAAACAAAGGAAGCATGTAGACAAAGTCTTGCCTTTTCCAGGGGTCCATTGCTTGTAGTCATGTTGTGGAATCATTACAACAATGACCTTCTACCTACTCTCCAAAAAAGCATATGACATCTGCTTCAGCTTGTCATACAGTCATTATATTCTTCTACTCAGATGCTACTCAAAATGCTGACACAGCCATTCTCATCTCGTCTCTCACAAGAAGTGATACCTTCTCCAAAGAGTGAGCAAAATATTGAATTCCATTTCCACAGTATTTTCACACCGCTGAAAAAATACGAGACAAGCCCACTTACACATCGGTGTCACTCTGGACTATAACCTTTCATATGCACCTAAAGAAAGTGGCCAAAATGAAGGCACACAACAGTCGAATCAACACGTAGCACCTGTCAAACACCTCTATGCCACATCTGCTATCCAACTGTGGAATTTGCTTAAGCCTATGACTACTCAATGCATGTGAAATTGAAATACTGTCCGACGTGTTTTATGTGAGGAACTCTGTAAGTCTGCCAATGCTTAAAGAACTGCCTCCCAGTGCCACTCTTTGCCTATTTCCATGCAAATCACAAAATGAAGTTAAAAAAAAGCATAGCAACTTCACATTACCATTGCATAGGAAAACCTTCAATTCACATGCAGCTCTCCTTACATCTCACAGTTTGAAATACTAGTCAGGTTTGTACAGTCACATTCAGGAAGGGGAGAGGGGTAAGTCTTGATAAAAATTAAATTAGTGTTAGTTAATGACAATATGTCACCAAAACACAGTCACCAACCCTACCACCTGTCCTGCTTCTGACTTCACATGAGTGCCTATGACTTGGTTTTGACCTGGATCAACGATACAGAATAGTATCCTGAAAATCCAAACTTCCACTACAATTAAATACTGACCAAGTTGATGAATGGTCTCTCTCCAAATCTGATGAGGCAACAACAGAAGCAAATTAACCACTGGCTTAGAAAATATATCCTTGCTAAAGCTAAAAGAGTAATCTTGCTGACATAAGACCTAGAAAAACAACTATTATAGCCAATTTTAATCACGTATTCTAAGCTGGTATTTCACTAATTTAAATCTTGATCCCAACCTAAGACCTACCCTGTAAAAAAAAGGCAGATTAAACTCAGAGCAATGTGTTTCTTCAGCCATTCAGTCTTGAGGAAAAAAAGAACGTGTCTTAATTTTTGAGAAGAAGTTTATTTGGTTGCTTTTAAGCTGAATTTCTTTCATAAAAAAAATACTTGTTCCTTCAAAAGGTGTGTTAAAACTTTAAGTAAGCATTAAAATAACTGCTTTTTTGGTGCAACTATATAATAGAAAAAACATTTTCACCAAAAAAAGCCTGAAATATGGCTCGATCAAAATTCTTATCGTTTTCTTGTATGAATATAGAACTAAGTTTAAAAGTAGAAACAGCACTTTGTTTCCATTACTGGAAAAAATCCACTCTGGAAATGCATGCTTGAGAGAGGATGTATTACTGTAAGTGTCAAACATCTTATCCTGTAATCTAGCAGCATAGTTGAAACTTGATGGATTATCAACAGTTGGAATTTAACTAGTTTGATATTGATGTGACTTTTTCCTGTTCACTCAAGTTCAGATTTGAAGTGTTCTTACAGTCAGTGGCCTTGAAGATTCACAAAAACCCAGATAAAGTTTTTAAAAATCATCCAGCAGAGTGAGCAAAATGCCCTCCTCATCTGAGAATGAAAATTAAAATTCAGTGTCACATATTACCAACATTACATTATAAAGACAGAGAGATTTTTACAGAAACTCTTACAGGTGAATTTAAGATTGCACATTTAAATCGATTCACAGTTACACTGTACCATTATTGTTAATTATATAATATTCATGATCTCTAACAGCATGCACACTACTTATTTTAAACCAACAGAAAGAAAACTTCCTGTTACCCATTGCATTTTCATAAGAATTCTAAAAATCACAATAATATTGGTTTAAAATGTTTTCTCTATTTTCTCCTTAAAAGTTTAAACAACTCTTTATACAGAAAAATTTTCGAGATTTGTTGGAATCCTAAAATACATGAGAAGATGGAAGGAAGTTAGATATACATATATAAAGATATAGCACATTTTTCTCCATTCCTGCCACCATAAACTCAAAACAGAATATTAAAATACTGAAATGACTTGTGAGTGCTGGACACAAACTAGCGCAAAATAAAAACACACTATGTTCCAATCATAATGCTGTGTGCTGCACCTGTAGGAAAAGATTATTCTTCCTTTTTGGCTCATGACAAATAAAACGTGCTGGAGTGTGGTAGTAAAAAGAACCCAACTAAATCCAGGTAGACTATCTCTGTGGCATTCTATATATCTCAAGATGTGTTCAAAAAGATACCACAGCAATCCCTCTTCGTGTAATCTGAGCTGTAGAAGTATGGAGAACAGCTGTTTCCAGCAGGATGGAATTTCCTAAGACAGTATTATCAGATATATCTACACCACCAAAACTTCCTCCAACATAGTAAGACTGTTCCTCTAGGCTTCTGGCATTATCTTGAATAATGTGGTTGGCACTGCACATTACTCAGAAGAGACAGAAATCTGATGATCATTCTAAACTAAACTCAGATGTGGGCTGATGAAGGAGTGGGATTTATGGAAGAGTGAAGTGCTTGGCATCTGCTCCACACCTTAGTGCCACTGACTGCACAGGGTTGGTGTGTGCATTACTTTCTTATTGTAACGAAGCCTTAAGGTCTTGAGCGTTGTTTCCTCTCAAAGACCAAGCCATAAGACTAACGATCTATTTAAATGAAATAAAAATCCCACATACTCTGGTTAATATTAAAGGCTTTGATTTCTTGAAGTAGCAAAGAAGTAAGCACTCCCTTTATTCAAATATCTCAGTGGGAGTTGAGACACTCCTGCAGATCCAGACGTATAAAACACTTCTGACAGTCAGTATTTGGCAAATTCTCAACAATGTATTTTGCAGATGAAACGGTAATATAAAAAAATGCCAACTAGAGCGAGCTCACTCAGTCTTTCTGGCAGTTTCCAGCTACTCTTCTGGGCATGTGGAAGAGTAGCCATAGCAGAGGTGCAGAGAAAATCATGTGTGGGTAGTATCTGAGAGGCATTAGTTCTTCTCAATGTGCTTAACTGTGTACACATACACACAGCAATGTCTACACCTGCAAAGAGTGACAGTGACTGGAGAGGTTCCCACTGCACAGCATGCAAAGTTATTCCCTGTGTGCCAGCATCACAGCCTGGGGTGCAGAAGCCAGGAATAAACACAAGACTTCCAACGTTGTTCAGTTATCTCTGTGCACGTTGTATTCGCATCATGCTTTCATTTAACTAGCCACTGACGCTAGAGAGCATATT